GGTCATTGGGGAGAAAAAGGGACATTTGTAATACTTTAAACAAAAATAAAAATTATAAAAAGTTAAAAAATAATAATAATAAAAAAAATAAAACTTTAGGTCTTAAAAGGATAAAAAAAAAAAAGAATAAAATTCATGATCATGATTTAAAAAAAAAAAGAAAAAGGTAGCTGAAAGTACCAATGAAAGAACTGGTCTATCAAGCAATCAATCAGTAGTATCCAGCTGACAGGTGATGTTAGGAAAACACAAGACCAAGGACCAGAACCAATAGAATAGTACAGAGTCATAAGTCCCTATCCCAAGACATCGAACCTCAAATTCCACCAGTGCCTGATCTAGGTTCTTGGAAAGCTCGTGAAGTTTTTCAACATTGTTCTTCATTTCTTCTGTAGACATCACTTCACGTTTTCTAAAACCTTCTAGTTCCTTGCTGTAGCCCTCAAGTTTCCACTCAAATTCTGAGCACCTGAAAGTAAAGATAGCCCACTCACATTTGGACTTTCCATTTGTGATTTTATATTTATATATTTTATATAAATTATATAAATTATATATATCTATATCTATATATATATCTTACTATTCATAATTCCAGAGACAGCTGTGTAAACTGTGTTTAGTGGTTAAATACTTTTAGATGTTTTCCTGTACAGGTAAATACATACATGTGCATATATGTTTATATATATAATGTATAATACACACATCATTCATTTACCCATTACACACTTACTATTGAGTACCTAATACATTCTGAGAACTGCTCCATGCATCAGGGATATATTTGTGAAGTACACTGTTAAGCTCCCTACCTCCATGGAGTTTGTATTTTAGTTGGGGGAGACCTGGACAATAAACATGGATGGATGGATGGATGGATGGATGGATGGATAAATCCATACATAGACAAAGATGAAAGGGGATATTTCTGATAGTGATAAATGCTCTGAAGAAAATAAAAGAGGGCAGAGTGACTACTGAATGGGAGTGAAGGGCTACTTTAGCTGGAGTGACCAGGGAAGACCTGTCCAGAGGTTTGTCTTCTTCATCTAGGTCATCAGCAAGCAGGTCTTAACTTTACTTCTCCTTTTCCTAATGAGGTAGAATAACAGAGTTAACTGGACAGGTTCTAGAGTGAGGCAGGCTAGGTTCAAATTCCTAGGCTACTTTTCCCCTTAGTAGCTGTATGACCTTGGTTAAGTCACTTAACCTCTGTGTGCCTCGGATATATAAAATGGGGATAGAAAAGTACCTACTTTAGTATTCAATAAGATAATACATACAAAATGCTCAGATTGAGCCTGGTCTATAATAATCACTATACAAGTATTTGCTGTCATTCCCTACATTATAAACTCTATCAATGCAGATTTTTATCTCCTTAATTTCTTTTTGTATCTCCAGCATTTAGAAGGGTGTCTGGCACACATAACACAATCAATATTCATGGAGTGAATAAGGGACTGACCACTGAGAACGGCTGTAGTGACACACCAGAAATCCGGCTATTCTCTTAAGAATACTTAATACTGTTATGGCAGTTTTAATGCTCTTTTTCTTAAAAGTAATTTATGAAAATTAATTGGGGTTTTATTTCTAATTTCACTGTGTGGTGAGCAGCCTCTGAGAAGGTCCCCGCAGATCCCCATGACCTCCTGGTATTTATCCCTGTGTAATAATCTCCTCTTGAGTTTGGACTAGAGGCCAAGTAACTCACTTCTAACAAAGAACAGGGGATGAAAGTGACGAGATGCCACTTCCAAGTAGGTTACAAAAAGATTGTGACCTACCTCTCTCTCTCTCTCTCTCCTCCCCCCCCGTCCCCCGCTCCGGGAAGCCAGCTGCCACATAACTACTCTACATGGAGGACCATGTAGCAAGGAACAGAGGGCAGTTTCTGGCCAACAGGCTGTAAGTAACTGAAGGCTACTAACAATCATGTGAGTGAGCCTGGAAGTGGATCCCCAGTTGAGCCCTCGGATGAGAATGCAGCCATGGCTGATGTTCTGGCAACTTCATGACAGACCTTGAACCAGAGGCACATACCTAAGACGCATCTGGGTTTCTGACCCACAGAAACTGTGAGATAATAAACGTGTGTTGTTTCAAGCTGCTACTTTGGGGATGACTTTTCATGTGGCCATAGATAACTAATACGCACTATTATAAAACAGAATGTGGCCTATGTAATTTCTGTTTCTTCAAAGTTTCTTTCAAGTCCTAAAATATGGTCAACTTTTTAAAATGTTCAAGTTAAAAGGAATAGATTTTTCACTGTAGGGTAGCTAGTGTGATATGTCTCCAACAAATCAGAGTTATTGTTTACTTCTATTATGCCCTTTTCCAAGTTTCGCTCTATTCATTTATATTTATTTATTTTATCATTTATTTGTTTATGGTATTTGATATATACGGGTTGATACTGCTTTAACTTTCTTTTTCCCACCTAAGTCACCGTCTTGGAACACTAATGTTTTTGCCTTGACTTTTGCCCTGATGTTAACGTAGCTGACACCCTGCCAGGCCTTTATTATCCCTGCCTTGATAGCTCACAGATCTGTGGTCTCCAAAGTAGGGCTGATGGTTCTGCTCCTATTATTGCGAGACCCTTATTAATGCCACTATTTTTGTCTTTTCTCTCTCTGCACCGCCAAATTTCAGTTGTTTGAGGCGGGGGGGGGGAAGGCGCTAGCAGGGGCTCCCGCAGTGAAGGCGGCTGAAAGAGAACATCCCTCAGTGGGAAACAAGAAGAAATTCCTTCTCCGGCTGCAGTNAAGGCGCTGGCAGGGGCTCCCGCAGTGAAGGCGGCTGAAAGAGAACATCCCTCGGTGGGAAACGAGAAGAAATTCCTTCTCCGGCTGCAGCCTCTGCCCACACACTGCTGGGGCGTGGAGGGTGGTTTCCAGACACACCCGGGAAACTGCAGGGTATCATTTCCAAAACAGACTCAGACCCCCCCTGTACCTTTTAATGAGGTCCAGCTCCGCCTGATCCCTCTTGCTAAGGAGCAGATTTCGGCTGTTTTCAAAGACATCCTCAATCTGGTCTGGCCAGAGGAACAAGGTGCTGTTCAACTTGATGTCTTCTTCTGCAAAACACACACAGCCGGCTCAGGGCCTGCTCAGCAGGGTCAGCACGCGGGCGTCGTCCACGGAGCCACAGGGCACTGGACGTGGGGCGGGCAACGAATGGATGGGCCCATAATGGATGAGTGACAGCCCACATTTATTCGGCGCTTCCCAAGGCCCAGGCTGGAGCTCAGGCAGCATTATTACCCGCGTTTTTACAGACTGGGGACAGTTAAGGAAGCGGTCAGGGTCACAGCACTAGGACGCGGAGAGCAGATTTCAAGCCCAGGTCTATGTTCTAACCTCTCTCCTCCTGCCTTCCCAGGCAGAAGAGTGGAGTAGCAACCTGGGGGATGTCCGGGTTCCAATCTTTAAACTATTTCACCCTGGTTGACCTCAGGCTCCCCTTTGGTTACGTGTCAGTAATAATATCAATGCCAGATCACCTACCTGTCATATGGCTCCATGTCCGTTAAAATGTCCTGGCTTCCCCCTGTACCCTTGGGATTTAGGGGGCAGGGTCCACAGTGAGAGAATCCAGTGTCTGCCCACCCGGATGAGGGCACAGAGGGCACAGCGCAGGAAATGGGGGATGGTTAGAGAGCTGCCTCACTCCCAGTGCCTCTCTCCCT